GTGGGAGAATAAAATATAAAGTGGGAGGGAGAAAAAAGATTGAAGGAATGGTTAAAAGAAATGATGATCCTTTTTTTTTTTTTTTTTTTTGAGAGGGAGGGAAGATTTTGATAAATTTGTTTAGTCCAAAAAATATTTCTTATATCTTATCTTTTCCTCATCAAAATATAAGATACATGAGATATTTATAGAAAAATCAAATCATATTTATAAAAAAATTCTTAATAATTCCTTTTAATACTTAGACACTAACTTCAGAAATATTAAAATACTTATTAATCAGAACAATCTCTCATATTTTATCCACTTTTATATCTTTTGAAAAGGAATTATTTTTTTATTAATGCTCGTTCTAACTTATTTTCATTGATTTTTTTACCATTAAATATTTTGGACTCTGATACCATTTTGTCGGGGAGGAAGAGAATACTTTTAATATCAAAATAAAAATATACAAAGATCAATAATAAAAAAACATATAGAAAATTCGATATAAGAATAACATGATTTGATAAATCCTTATTTACATTCACACGATTTTCAAAATCTTGAGTTATCCCTATAAACTTTTTTATACACTTGAAAACATTAAATGTATTTTTTACTTTACAAAAACTTAAAGATATATGAGATATTAAAAAAAATAAATCTTAATTATCAAATTTTTTCTTTACGATAATTTTTTTTTATTGAGATTCATTATCCCATTGAAACACTAGTTATAACAATCTAAAAATATTTATCAATCCCATCCAATTATTTAAAAAAAATTAAAATATTTTAAAAATAAAAGAAAGAGCAATAAATGCAAAGATCCAATGGGATGGATCGTTGTGACCTGACATAGAGGGATCGTTAACATTTTGGTATGTTGGTACTGTTGTTCTTATAACGAGCGATTTAAACCTTTTATCTAATTCATTTGATCCTCGCACGTTACTCCAAGACAGGGTTAGGTTTCAACTCGTTAGTGATCTTAGTTCGGCACAAATAGAATTCAATTGCAAGCGTTCGATTAGTCTTTCTATTTTTTGAAGCTCTTTGGGTGTTAATTTAAGTTCGTTCCCTTCTGATCCTCCCTTTTTTTTTTAATAAATATTATCGTATTTGAAATAAAAATATTTGTTTCACGATGGTGTGACTTAAAGTGTGATCAACAAGTGTAACTTATTTGATATTTTATAAGACAAGTTCTTCTAGTCCGAAAAGAGTTATATTGAGTCATACAGAATTTACATCCAGAATAATCCAATAAAATTTGTTTGACATTCAATCTATTTGTGAGATTAAAAAATAAAAAAAATAAAAAAAACTAAATATAAGACATACAGGAAGAGATTCATATTTTACACGATCTATAGATTATGATTAACTAATTATAAATTATTTTTTTAATTAACTATCTTTAGTATTCCGATTTCTATACTTTCAAAATTTAAGATCTATATGTTTACAAACTTCAACAAAATACTTTTCTGTAAGATTATCTTTTTAATCTTGTATAGGGATCTTAATATTTTATTTTCGTAAATATACAAATCGTAATATATTAAAAATATAAAAATTAATATACTAAATATAACTAATTATAATTTTTTTTTTTATATGTCATGATAACATGGCATGCCAATTCAGCATGAATGTGAGCATTTATCGACTCAATCTTAGTTGAACTTCAACCACACTTCTTCTGAATTAGAATCTTTAGATCATTTATAATTTTAATGTGACAATCAAAATTCACACTAACATGATATTTTATAGTGTTCATGTATAACATTTAGTGTCGTCGATAAAAACAAAATTGATATTTTCGTATGATACGTGGCAATTACACAGTGGCAAATAGGCGCCACGTGGATGCTACTATGCTGCACGCTTAAGACGACTAGGGCGACTGTTATGCAATCGAGAATTATAATTAACAATGTAAGTTAAAATCATATTATTATCTTCTTCCGTTATATACGTATATGACATAATGGGTTTGTAGCGGCCGCTACTTCAGAGCTTGATGATGAAATCAACGCAACCTCCCCACTAAAATTTGGGAGCGACACGAGCAGCAGCAGTCGAATCTGGCTGGGCAGGGTAGTATAGGGCGAGAGGTATCCCAAGAATGAGGGCAGCTCCGGCCATGGCGGTGATGATGTCCCCCTCTTCCCCCTCCTCCTCACTTCCGCTTGCTTCTCTTTTCCTCCGTCGCATCTCTCGTTCTCCCAATTCCTATTCTATTCCTGTTGTTTGGGCGCCAAGAACTCCGTCCGCCGCCGTTGTCTCCTCCGCCTTCTCTTATCTTGGAAGGAAGCCGACCGTTACCTCATCCTCACCGTCCCTCTCCAACCATGCTGTCGAGCTTAGGAGGGGCTTTCCGCTCGCGAATCCGGCCGTAGCGAGGCTGGATTTTCAGCTTGCTGCGTTCGGATACGGAGTTTCTCATAGGAGGAGGTTCTGCGGAGTGCGAGCCTCGGAGGTGTCCGATCCGGGCTCCATCGACTCCCCAATGATGCAGTCAATGGAGAAGAAGGTCTTGTCCTAACATATACCGCTCTTTATTTCTCTCCTACTCTTCTGCTTATGCTCGCTCGATTTCACATATGTATCTTGGGGTTCGGAATGCCATTTAGGATAACGAAGTGTTTGTGCTTTTGTATTTGATGTGTTTGATCTATTGTCAAAGCGGCAAACCGAGCAAAGCTCATCATCCACAACTTCATCCTCTAGCTTAGTTTTAGATACATTGAAGCTGTCAGTAAACTGCAAATTCATAGTTTAATGTTGTTCTTACTTTTCCTACATCCTTCGCTTTTTATTAAAGCATCATGAATGATCAACTAGGTAATAGTATCGAGGCCAAAGGTTGGAGTCTTGGGAATTAGTATAAAATAAGAAGCAACACCAAGAAAATTACCTCCAGAAATATCAACTTGATGTTGTCGGAATGAAGTATTATTATATGTATCTGTCTGAACATAGCACATCAAATGTCATTCAGTCGTTTTTGGGTTTGTTGTGTGTGTCTCAAGCTGATGAGAGCAGCACAAATGAATACCTTGACAATCTAAGTAGCTTCTGACCTCCCGTTGTGATTTTTACCTTGTATGTTAATTTAGTCTTAAAGTTGAAGTTTGAGTATTGTATTTTTTTTTAATTGAAAATTGGCAATCCACATAGTCACTGTGACCAAATTCACATGATAAAGGTCTTTACTATATGGAATTTTTCATCATGAACAGGAATGGACTTACCTGCATCTTCATGTTTTCCCCTGCTTGTTAGCCTTAAATCAATGTTTCTGTACAGGTCACAGTACTATAGTATGAGGGTTGTGTGTAATTAAGGAAAAAGGGAAGACTACAATGGATTTTGATTAAATTTATTTCATCTGTTAA